TTCTTCGGTGTTAATTGTACCTTGCTGAAAATTTGACGTAGGCCTAGATAAAGAAACAGAAGATGCTATTCGCATGGTACCGTGTGAATATTGCGTAAGTAGCATGGTAATAATAATAATTTATTCGCACAGTAACATTCAACAAAAAATCACTTTGCTCTTTTTTTATTGAAATTACCGCGTTATAAATCGGTGGATCCTGATTGGGTTTTTTTACCGTGCGGAATGACGTATTTGATAACTGGATGCTATTTGGCTAATTCCTACCATGCGCATAAGAAGTTATTAACACGGTTACCGTGCTAACAGGTACTCCATAAAGAAAATGTACTGTATGCATTTAATGAAGAATAAAATCTTGAAGGACAATGCAATGACTTATTGACTTATACTCAAGTTATTTCTAGGTTTAGGCAATTTTATTATACTACATTTCTTGTATCAAATATTTATTGAAAATAGACTACCATTTTAATAAGGAAAAAAAAAATTTACAAATCACATAATTTATGAAATTTCAAAGTTTTAATAGGTCACAGATCAAGGGAAAATAAACTGTTACAGTTACAAATGTTAAATTTGAAATACATATCTTTTAGTTCTGAATTTCAATGTAGAAATATGTGTTGCTTCCTGTTTTTACAATTACAATTGTTCTATTGTATTGATCTTGTTCAAAGACACGAAAAACGCCTACTCATTTTCCAGAGCTGAACTAAATGATTCTTCAACAACGGTGTAATTATGTCAATATTTAGCTGATAAATGTTAGTTTAATAATAATACTGTAAATAAGTTCTATTTATATAGTGTACTGTAGCAAAAGCTTCTATGCACTTCACAAAAAATGATTAAAAAAATGTTGGAAAGTCATAACAGTCCTAAGTCCTAAGGGGTTTCTATCCATCCTCCTCCCCCCCCCCCAACTCTAGNNAGCACATTTCTGGACCCCTCCCTATGTGACTTGAGCAAAGTTAGAGGTTATACTTTACCATGCATTTGTACTAAAAACACTGCTGAAACAGTTTATTAATATGGTAACAATTAGAAAGACAAAATGTGATAGTAAAAGTGAAGTGTCCAATTTTTCCAGTTTACATTTGTGAACTTGACATAGACTTAGCCAGCGAGTCGTCCGGCCGTCTTTTGAATAGCCAACAATGGAGGCTCTGCAAACACAAAACTTGAGATTCAGTTCCCTGACATAATATTTTTGGTGTTTCTAACTCTCTGATTATAATTAAATTCATGAAAGTTAAATTTTATTCGTCAACAAAATACAGTAGGTCTAGCCCTATCTCTCGATTTGGAGGACCTAGAGTAGAATTTACACTAGACTAAGGCGAGAGATGAAGATGCATCTGCATAGCCTAGAAACATTATGTGAGTAACCGTAGCCGTGCGCAATCTGTCTATAAATGAAATATCTTTTTGAAAGCTAATTCAACACTATTCCTTTGTTTAAACACCTTTAAATGCTCTCTAAAGATCATAATTTTCTATTTTTTCCCCCTTATGTTTGGGAGGGGTGTGGTCCGAGTGGGCGTGGCCTGCCATCAGCTCAGGGCCACGCCCATTGGCTTCCATTTTGGACGGCCTATTTCGTTTTTCTGGCTAAACCCCTGGAACTTGATTACATGTTTTTTTCTTAAAGTTCTTGCCAATCATTATTAATAACAAATTATTCTTTTCTCCAGACCATCACCATGTCGATGGGAGTGCTCGGGACACTAGCGGTCAAATGGGATCCTAAAAACTTGGAAATAAGAACATACTCAGTGGAAAAGACATTGGAGCCACTAGTAATACAGGTAAGTAGACCTAACCAAACTACATGTTTTCTGTGACAAATGTCTGTGAAAATGATGTCACATACTCTTACCTTCTAGGGAAATCATAGGTACAGTATAACTGAGCATTGCATAACCAATGTCGGACTTATTTTGTCCATTGTGCCTGTACTTATTTACTGAATTTAAAAAAACTCATCTGTGCCAAATGCTCAATTCATTTTAGTAAAAATATATATTTATCCTCCTTAGTAAGAAAATGTCAGATCTCCCGAAACTGTGATTGTTTATACTGTAACACATCAGGACATACACTACCTTTTATTTTAATGTACTATAAATCTAATGTAGTAAAACTGGGAATTTTCCACATTTAACACCATAAGAAGCTACTGCATGTTAATGTCAAGAATTGATCATGATTCAATAGGTAGTGATGTAGACCTACTGTATGATCTCAAAGCTCCGATTATACTTTACCTTAACCTAAATTGTTTACGGTAATTTTCTATTCTCTGCAGGTGACGACTCTGGTTAATACGAAACCATCGAATAAGAAGAAAGGACGTTCAAAGAAAGCACGCGTATTAGTAGCTGCTGTCAATCATGCTACCGAGGCTTTCATTGTAAAAGGAGAGGAGATAGCCAATGAAAACCCAGAAGTAATGGAAGAAATGCTAAGTGCAGTAGATGAAGTCCGAAAAGCAGGTAATCATATGGTTTATAGGTTTGTCTTATAAATGATTTCACCAAAAACAATTATTTTCATAAATATTACGTAATCAAATTTCCAAAATTGTTTCATAATAATAATGATTTATTATACTATTTTGAATATTTAATTTATAATATTAACAATATGACAATCTAAAGCCCTGTCCAGACTATCAAATTCTTTTTGACAAAAATATGTGACATGCCTAAATATGGTCATGATGACATCACATCATGACCATATATAGGTACATCATTGCTATATATGGGCATTACGTCAAAGAAAATTTGATAATCTTGACAGGGCTTTATTTAACATTCCTCTGCGTATGATATTAAATGTGTTTCCATTCTGGCAACCTGTGTTCTGTACATCGTATGGACATTTCAGTTTATACAAAATATATTTAATAAGTTTTTTTGTTTTCTCAATATGTGATTAATGAATATTATCTCAAAATAATTATCACTTTCACAGATTTTGTTTTCAACGCCATAGAGAAATATCAAATTAAAAATCATTTTCTGCAATATACTGTAGATTCTTTCAATATTACTGTAAATTTCTTAGTCATAATTTACCTATGTTAGAACTTATTCATATAACTTGCTGAATGTGCATATAAATTGCATGTGATTAATGAATATTATCTCAAAATAATTATCACTTTCACAGATTTTGTTTTCAACTCCACAAAGAAATATCAAATTAAAAATCATTTTCTGTAATATACTGTAGATTCTTTCAATATTACTGTAAATTTCTTAGTATAATGTACCTATGTTAGAACTTATTCATATATCTTGCTGAATGTGCATATAAATTGCATATTAACTGAAATAGGTGCATATATTATCTATCTACTGTATTGGTGCATGTCAAGCTTTAATGACTTATGAATAACAGAATCCTATCTCTTGTTGAAAGTCAATTCATTGTGGGCTGAAAGGCATTATTTGGTGGGTGAGAGACAAATTAAGATGAACAGTTGAAGCTAAAGCAACTTATGTGGTAATAATAATAATAATAATAATAATAATAATAATAATAATAATGTTATTGTTAATGTTAGACTTATATAGTGCAAAATACTTAAGCTTCAATTTGCTTAACATTAAATATGTTTAAAAATAAGAATTTACCCCTCTCTACAAACTCAAGATAGGCTGATAAAAATAGGAAAAGGCAAACATGTACAAAAACTCAGGGGCTCACCATCCACTACCACTCTGGTGCAATCCTGGACCCTCTGGTAGAGATGATTATTAGAGTTTTGACTCTTATTGAGTCTATTCACAAGTTTATACTCTTTGGAGATGTTGATTTAGTTCTAAAAACTCACAATACGATCCTTGTGTATAGTGGTGAATGGATTGGTCGCGATGTGAACGCTCCTTTTCTTGACCCCTATTTTTATCTAAAGAAGGCAGTAGATTTCTCTATAGAGTGACTTCACCCCACCTTTGTAGTGGTAATAATCTGTATAAATATTTCCTTGTTTCATTGTCTGTCACAGGCTTTTTGGTTTTGTTTTGTTTACATTTCTTGGGTGGCTTTAAATTCTGTTAAGCGTGAACTCCATCAATAGCAATAAATTGAAAACAACAAGACACAGTCAATAAGTGCAGTAGCAGTCATAATGTGATTTAAATCGTTATGTACTGGGTTAAAATTCTCATTACTCAGTGAGGATATTGAGAATCAAAATAAATTATTGTACATAATCATTGTGTTGATGTATACACAGCATTTACAATTTGCTGGAGGTTTTTATTGTCTCTTTATGAGCTTTTACACAAACCTGATGCTTTTAACTGACACTTGACCACAATTCTATTGTTGTTGCTGAAAAACATGTTGATATTCATTTGAATTGATGAGTCATTAGCAAGCTTGTTGGTGACTATGGAAGCAGGTGTGTTTTACATTTCCCCTATCCCCAAAATTGCTCAAGTTCATTAACTGCCAACATTTTACAGTACCGAGTTTTTAAAAAAGATCCTACTATGTGTATTTGTAGTATAATTTGACAGTATAACTTCGATTGATTTCCTAGGAGATGCCATGCGTCCCGCTGCGTCTGACTTTGCCGAGGATCCTTGCTCGTCAGTCAAACGTAGCGTGATGGTACGTGCAGCACGTGCATTATTGTCAGCCGTCACACGTCTCTTGATTCTCGCTGATATGGTCGATGTGCACCTACTGCTAAAGGTCCTTAGAAATGTAAGTACTTACATTCTAAATTTTGTTTCAGAATAATATGGAAAATAAATTTATACTTTTATAGTGCATAATCCCCAAAGACTCTGTGTGTACTGTATCACATTTTAGAGGAAATTTGAATATCAGATTTATAAAATTATATTGATTATAAAAGTCATTGAATAAATTATGTAATGTAATACAATGGGACTTTTTATTTAATCAATTTAGTATGCCATACCTGTTTGATCAACAATATCTGGAAACATCTACCCAGCTTCAGACATATTTGTTGATTGAAAAAATATATGAATATACATGGATATTGAAAATCAGTGCTCTACTTTATCAGACATGTATGATCAAACATTATTTGATTGATTAGAATTGTTAATCACAAATGTTTAGATGGATCAAAGATTAATTCTGTTGATCATTATGTGATAAAAAGAGTTATTTAATTTTTATTTAATGTTCCAGGTTGAAGATGATCTTCTGAAGCTGAAGCAGTCCAACAACATGGAGGATCTGTTCAACAATTACCAAAAGCTGGGTCGTGACCTTGTGCATGCCAACAACATGATAGCAAGACGTCAGAACGTGAGTCCTATCATTTATCATACTGACAATAAAGTTTTAAATAGACACTAGAAATTCAAATAGTGGTAATTATGTAGCACATATTGCCATGACCTTGAGGCATTTCACATTATTATTTGAATCATTAGAACAAATTGCCCTGTAGGGAGTATTCAACAATGTTTCGGTTAGTAAGCAGTCAGTAGTTAAGATTGGCACTGTAGTTTGTAACCAGAAGCAGTGCTTTTAATATTGAGCATCTACTGTATTAGCCACCATTATGTAGGGCCTACATTTTAAAATTAAGCGTGTTTCATAGATTCTACTACCATTATCACAGGGTATTAATATAAATTGGTGTTATTTTGTTTTGGTTTGTATATGCATGCACAGTGTCCATACACTAATTAATTGAACCAGTTACACATTTCTGTTCAACAGTCTGCAAATTTAGTTCTATTTAAGAAGAATCTCAAAACATTCTTATTTTCTAAAGCTTTTTTAAATCTGGTTTTTTTTTCACTTGTGCCTTTGGTAATTTTTGAATTAGCGCGGTAAAAATGTCTGATTTGTTATTACACTTATTAATTGATACTATTTATATATTTATAGGACCTGAAAGATCCACGTAGACGTGATGAGATGGCCGCTGCCCGAGCTGACCTTAAGCGAGGTGGTCCTATGCTATTGACAGCTTCACAGGTACACACCTAAATTTGCAAACCACACCTGGCATATTCTTGTAGCGGTGTCCAAGAGCTTATGGCTCTTGCATCTCTAAATTTTACTATCCCTGTCTTTTTTGTATTTTAACTAGGCCTGGTTGCAACATCCAGACTTGGCAGCTGCCAAAGACAACCGTGACTACATCATTAAGCAGATGGAGGAAGCCATGAATACCATCTCAAATGTCAGCCAGGCTCAAGGCGACTCTGCTCCAGATCCCAACCTAGAAGGAGCAGGTGAACTCATTTCAGCCATTGATGAACTCGATGTAAGTTAAAATATTTGTAGAACTTTTTGTTTCTTCTCCGATTCTGTTAGGATCTATGCTGGGTATAATGGGTAGATTTTTTTTATCTGTGTTCTGTTTTCCAGCCCTTACATTTTAGATATTTCTAACACTTTTAAAGGGAAAATTACATGATATTGCCACACCATATTTGGTGTTAATCTACAAAATGGAGCTTTGCACTTGGTGGTTAAGATGGTTGTCGGCCAATTCCAGGATATGGGGTTCAAGTCCTGTGACACTAGAAATTTTTGGTTTGTGACAAAAACTCTTAAAGCTCAGTATGAGATTTATAGAGCATCATTCCATCTTGTGGTTTGGTAGAGAAATATATTTTGATAATAAAAGGCTCACAGGCTGGTGTGCCCAGCTCTCTTTTAGACTGTGCAGTGCTCTGTAGGGGGCAGTTCTTCACTTTTTCAGTACAAAACTGTTTATTTTTGCAGCATAAAATTTATTCATATTATATTTTTGCAATTTACAGCGCAAGATCATGATGAACCCATTGGAGTACAACGAAGTTCGCACACGTCCATCCCTAGAAGAACGCCTGGAGAGTATCATCAGTGGCGCTGCCCTCATGGCTGATTCTTCTTGCACACGAGATGATCGTAAGGATCGTATCGTTCAAGAATGTAATGCTGTGCGACAAGCCTTGCAAGATCTTTTGTCTGAGTATATGAATGCGGTAAGTTGCTGCTAACTTTTTGTATATTTTTTGTTTTGTTTTATTACAATTGGAAATGAATCAGATGCAATTTAATAATTGGAATTAAAATAACAAATAATTCTTGCAATTACCAGAGACCAGACTTTAACTTGCTTAAATTAAACAAATTTGGCTGACATGAATGATTTTTAAAAAATTCATATTTATCAGTCATACCAATCAATATATTTGCCTGAATTTCGTAATATATTATTAGGAGAATATACCTTTTTTGAAAGCTATGACATTGCTCCCGTAGCTTGATCAGCAAACTTAACAGTGAACTTAGTATCGTTTTTTGATGGGACATACATCAGCCCAGTTCTTGTTCATCCTTGGAAACAAATTAATGGGGTTTTTTTTTCCATTGGTGGTTGTTCCATAGGCTAAGAGCGGTAAGGATACAAGATCAGAACCATTGGATGCTGCTATTGATCACATGACTCTGAAGACAAAGGACTTGCGAAGACAGGTAAACAACTTGAATATCCTTAATGCTAAGGTTTATCGATAGAGGGCAGTATAAAATGATACGATGATTTTGAGTGTTTAATTCAATCCTATAACTGGTGAGATCTTGCAGTATATCAATTAAATCTTTGTGTGTTATTTTGTAGTTGCGCAAGGCTGTGTCGGACCATGTTTCTGACTCTTTCTTGGAGACCAGCATTCCTCTGCTGATCTTAATTGAAGCAGCCAAGAGCGGCAACGAAGCTGAAGTTGAGGAATATGCAGGAGTGTTTGCAGAACATGCTGGCAAATTGGTGGAGGTAAATAAAGATTGACATCCAAAGTAAAGTTTTCTAATGAAACATTTAGTAATAAATAAATCGTTCACCTATTACACTGCATAAAAATAATATTTTGTCTATCTAGGTTGCCAATCTTGCTTGTTCAATGTCAAATGATGAAGATGGTGTTAAGATGGTTCGTCTTGCAGCTTATCAAATTGAAACACTCTGTGCACAGGTTAGTAACTTCATAAACTATTATCACCATCATCATCATAATCAAAATCATCACCACCATCATTATATCATCAGCATTATCGCCGTCATTGTCATCCTGGCTTACAACATAATGCTATGTACTAGTCACCACCACTACCACTAATACAACTGCTACTACGACCACCACCAACATATATTTAATTAACTTGTAAAAATGTATCTGTTCGACAGGTGATAAATGCAGCCCGTACACTTGCTGCACGTCCAAGGAGCAAAGCTGCTCTCGGCAACATGGAAGCTTTCAAACAGCAATGGGAGTCACAGGTCAAGGTGCTGACCGAAGCCGTTGATGACATCACAACTATTGATGATTTCCTTGCTGTATCAGGTAGTCAAACTGTTTGAATTAAAGAGCCATCCAACACCGAATAAACTGCCAACAATATTATATGCCACGTCATGGTTTAGACGAGACTTTGTTTAGCGAATCCGCCGCCCTCCTATAATGATGATTTTCAATAAAACATTTTTGGCCAATCAGCGCACCCGCTGAAAAAAAATTAAAGTTTTTCTTTATTTTTAATATGCCCGCCGCTGCCTTGAAATCTCCAAAAATAAGATATCTGTATTTCTTCCTAATTATATAAATTTAAAGCATTTAACCATCCCACTACTACACTGTTTACATTCACTAATAACTTTTTTCTCCTCCGTCTGGATGTTTGTGGCAAAACTATTTGCTAAATACGAAAACAAACTTTTATTTTTATTATTTTCCCCCCTCCTCTGACGATCTTTAAAAAAATGAGTTAGCGAAACAAGGTATAAAAAAGTCTTGCCTTGTACATGTTATAGCAGCGTAGAAGAGAAGAAATTTGGTTCTATGATATTAAACGGTCTGTATCTTGGTTCAAACCATTATCATTTGTATTACCGTATTAGAAAAAAACAGATACTAACAATAATGCCCTATGGCTCAGCATATTATTTGTGCATATATATTGTAATGGCACACTTAAGAATAGAGGGTGCTTGAAGCTGGTAGCTTCTGTTCTACCTTCCTGAATGAAAGAGAAATTTTGTGTGTAAATCACAGTACAAGTTTTCAGTTGATAATCCATTGGAAGCATCTATTTATTACATATTTATATTTTCTATTTATTGTCATTAATTTCAGAGGGACACATTTTGGAAGACGTTAACAAATGTGTCGTAGCTCTGCAAGAAGGTGATGTTGGCACACTTGATCGTGTTGCCGGTGCTATCCGAGGACGTTGCTCACGTGTATGTAATGTCGTTGAGACTGAGATGGGCATGTATGAAGCTGGCCTGTACACAGAGAAAGTTAAAGAAGCTATCAATATTATGAGAGAAGATGGTAAGTTAACTGAAACTTTGAATAAGTGGATTGTTGTAGAACAATCAATTTTACTTATAATTTACTTTTTAATATAGAATTTTACATAAAAAATAAAAAATGCAATAATAACACTGCATATAATACTAGATTTTGGAAAAACAGACATTTTGCCTTAATTGTTATATTTTTGTTGTTATTATGTTAATTTATTGTTGTTATTATGTTAATTTATATGTTCATAAGGGCCCCAGTGGAAATAAGTTTTATATAATGTAAAACTTTCTTGGGTTACCCTAGGAATTAATGTCTTATCTTGTTCTTTATCATTTATCTGTTCTTTGTATTTGTTTTATTTTCAAGTAATCTATGATTTTAATTCCTGAATGAAATGAAATATGATTTTGTTTACAGTGATACCAGTCTATGCACAGTGTGTGGAGTTTGCAGTAGATGCGTTGAGTTCAGATCCTCAGAAAGATCCGGATGAGAATGAATTCATTGATGCATCAAGAATGGTTTACGATGGTATACGTGATATTCGTCGTGCAGTGCTCATGAACAGGGTATGATTTTTTCACAGTATATAGCTATATCTTGCTGGTGCTCACCTATTATAGTTTGTATTCTGTTTTCAACATGGATTTATATTTTGTTCTGTTTTTGACAGAATCCAGAAGATATTGGTGATGAGTCAGAGATTGAACAAGAGGATGATTATGAGACAAAGAGCAAATGTAAGTATTTAATATTTTATTGTTAGTAATAACTACCAATTCGTAGCATATGTACAGTAGTAATGTTAGTTGTATTCATCTGAAAAACAGATCTCTTTGCACAAATTAAACTATGTTACGCCTTTGGTAAACAAAAACTGATACCGACAATACATTTATCCTTGCACAATCTTTCCATGGAATGACTTCACTTTTGATTGATTGATTGAATTTATTCGATGCTCAACATGCACAAACAAGTTAACAAATTTTTTACGAACAAGAAAAGTAAAAATTAATGAGCATCAGGAACATCTATTAGGCCGGAGTCCAGCCCATTTCCAATGGGGTCCAAAGTTGTACTTTAAAAATTTTTGATTATGGCACCTTTATATGGCCGGAAATGACACTCTCATTCCTAAATTTGGTTAAAATTTTTCCATTTTACTTACAATTTTTTTTAATTTAGGGGAGGTTGGCCCTCCCCCCCCCTCCCTTGAATCCACCATTGACATATTAAACATTTATTTTTAAAATTTGAAAATAGACATAAACATATGTTGAAGTCACCCCTGACCTATCATCATTTAAATCCATTGCTTGATGCAACTATCTATTTTAGCATTACACTTGGGACTACTGCTGCACACAGTCATATCTGGGGTGATTTGTGCAGCAATCAAAATCAGGATCAAGATGAGATTTTTGTTAAGTTCAGTAATCAATATCATTCTTAATTTCTTTTTTTAATTTAATTGCAGCAAGCTACCAAACCAATGATGAAGAGTTGTTGGAGGAAGGACATATTGGTAGAGTAAGTCACCAAATACAACTTCATCGATTTTATTTACAGACTCACATTCAGGAGATGAGCCCATTGCTAACTTAAAAGAAAGTGCACCCTCACATTTATTCTGTATCCCAAAGAGTTGATATTAAGTATAGTAATCATTGCTAGATAAAAGTGCATGAAAAATAAAATTGTATGTCACTTGATATGTGTATATAACAGTATATCATTCCTGATGATGACATAATTATTGTTGAAATATTAATCCCAACACGATGGCGTGCATTTCAATACTTGGAGTATACCTATTATACTTTCTTACAGTATAATAATGTGTTAAAATAAACATTTTAATGTTACCTATAAATGCACACACATACACAGAACCTGAGACACCCTTTAGCCAGTCCCATTTTTTTGCCCACAAAAACGACACATTTTATTTTTGCTTTTGTTTTCTTTAGAGCCAAATGAGACAGCTCCCACAAGAGGAAAGAGAGAAGATTGAAGAACAAGTTGAAGAGTTTAAGGTTGAGAAGGCAAAGTTGGACCAGGAAATGGCCAAGTGGGATGACAGTGGAAATGACATCATCATAATTGCCAAGAAGATGTGCATGATAATGATGGAGATGACAGACTTTACTCGGTAAAGCTACATTCACGTCAAAGCCCGGAACAAAAATATTTGTGAAAAATTGGTTCGGTGGTAATGAATACAACCGTTCACATCAAATTTGTATGATTTCCAATCCAGACCGATAGATCTGAGAGCCATTTGTATCATGAAATCCTACATTTTTTTTCTCTTGGACCAATTAGCAACAAGCTTGGTTGGTTTGAACCAATCGATCGCATACATACTTAACCCAAATAACTGTGTTCCGTGCGCGATGTGAACGCAGCGTTCAAAAAACGTAGCAATTTTTTGTCCGGGCTCCGGACCGGATCCAGGCTTGATGTGAACGTATCTTTATAATTGTAGCATTGAAAAACCAAAAGCCTTGTCAACTCTCAAATGTTATGCGATAACAATTTGTGTGATGTGCCCATATATGGGCATGACGATGTCATACTACAATATAGAAATATCACAATTATTTGTCACATAATATCTAATAGTGTGAACAAAGGGTTGTGATTTGTTCTGGGTAAGAAAAGTGGTGGTTAATGATGATACAAACAGAGTTGTCAATTATAACAACAATGGGGTTTAACATGGATTGGATATAATTTGAGTTACAGCAAGCATAACACGCTAAAGTCAGAAGACTTACTTAAAGTGGGAACCATATGGTGGTGAATTGGGTAGTAAACCGAAATACAATCTTTCCAAAGTGTGTACTGCATTTAGTGTGCACATGGTCCGTATATTACAATTAAAAATATCCATCTGAAAGACTTTTGAAATTTCCATTTCAACACTCCAGCAGAAACACAAAGAGAGTAACAGATAGAATTAAACTGCGGACCATTGATTTCCAAAAAAAGGCTTTTCTAAAGGGTGATCTGAATACAATCTGACACCATGAAAGGAGTTCCCTATTCTGAAACAAGCATCCCAGCTTAAAGTGTTATTCTCTGCTATGCCATATGTTATATTGTCAATGCTTTTTATTTATATAATTTGTATTTAATGTACACTTGTATTTTCTTTATATGAATAGCAATAAATACTACAAACATACATGATATAATTATATTTATAATTATCACACAGGGGTCATGGTCCTCTGAAGAACACCATGGACGTTATCAAAGCAGCCAAGAAGATTGCAGACTTTGGAAATAAACTGGACAATTTAGCACGAGTCATTGCTGAACAGTGCCCAGACTCCTCGTCCAAGACTGATCTCACCTCGTACCTCCAGAAGATCACTCTTTACTGCCATCAGTTGAATATCACCAGCAAAGTGAAAGCCGAAGTACAGAATGTTAGTGGTGAACTGGTGCTTTCAGGAGTGAGTTCTCTTTCCCTCCCTTTATTTAATGAATTTTTTTCACTTACAATGTCAATTAAGGAATGTTAGTTTAAAAAAATAAAAAAATAAAACGTGTAGGCCTAGTATTGAAACAAGACAACTTTTTCATAAATAAATAAAAGTAAAATTCTTTCTTCAGTTTATTATTGTTTATTTTCAGAAAATTTTTCAGCTGCCCCGAGTTTCTTTTTCTTTCTTCTTTCTTTATTCTTTTATGTTATTTTTATTCATAATTAACAGATGATTACTTACATTATTCATTCATTAAACTTACTTTTTAAATTACACTTTTTTAATATTTTAAGGCCTATTATGTATACATTATATCTGTATTTAATATTTTTCTATCCTGGTCCCGACCGTTTAATGTCACTATTGGATATGCTTATTTTCACGAGACTTTTACGAAAGGATACCTTGTTCGAAGCAAGAAATGTGGGAAATTGTTATGTTATATTTCTTTAGCGTTTATAAGTGTTTAATGAGATAATTATAATCTTCTTTTGTTTTTATTTAGTTGGACAGTGCTTCATCCCTGATCACAGCAGCTAAGAATCTGATGACCGCTGTTGTACAGACAGTGAAGGCTTCCTACGTGGCATCTACTAAATACAACCGATTGAAGGGCGCCAATGCTGTCAATGTAAGTTACATTTAGTTGCTCTACCCTAATACACCATTAGATTTTAGTCTGTCAGACACAATTAGTGAATTTATTGTGAAAAGAACTTCTCATAATCTCGAAAGCTCTGATGAGGGCAGTATAATAGAGACAGTAGAGCTAAAAAAGATTTATTAATCAGCCGAGTGTTTCTAGAGCTCCTCATGAGGGCTTTATAATAGAGGCAGTAGAACTAAAAAAGATCTATTAATCAATCAGCCAAGTGTTACTAGAGCTCCTCATCTGAGCTAAAGAGAGTTAACGCAAGTCTCCTATAATATTATTTGGTGTTTTTTTTTAGTCTCCAATTGTAAGCTGGAAGATCAGGCCACCAGAGAAGAAACCACTTGTCCAGAGGAAAGGTCTGGAAAACTCACAATCTAATGTCCGCCGAGGGTCCAAGAAAACTAAGATCAACCCGGTCCAGGCGCTAAGTGAATTCAAGGGTAAAGACATGTTCTAAGCAACAGGCATGCTGGGTAGTGGAGTAAACGAACATTTGACAGAATGCTCCCAGCATCACACCATATTCCCCGTCCCATATATTCGATCAAGAAAATTTACCCAAGAAAATATTTGAATAAAACATATCTAAATTTAGCTCGTAGTTCTGATACCATACCAGAATTCCTTCAATATATTAGTGTAACACATTTTTGTTCCCCACTCTTCCTATGTAAAATGCTTTCGACTGCTCAATACAATCTAATTAAATTATGGTGTCGGTGCTTGAGTACAAAGTTAAGGTTATGAATGTATATTGCATATTGACTACAAACAAAATATAATCAAAAGCTTAAGTGTTGTTACTTGGTTTAAGTACATAAAATATACATACATATATGAAATGTAGCTGGTAATTTCGGTTCCATATATGAAGCACAGTTTCTAATGTGGGTTCCATATGTAAAGCAGTTTGCTAATACTGTATTTGTTCCATATATGAAGCAGTTTGCTAATACTGTATATGAAGTATATGTCACTTCCATATATGAAGCACAGTTACAAAAGTTGGGTCACATTTGGAACACAAGTGCTTAATTTGGTTGCGAATAACATTTTAAATCTAGAATATTGTATCAAAATGAATTTAATAGAAGATAAATATTCAGAGTGTTGTCAATTTATGACAGTAGTTTACTGGTGATGGTAACCAGCACAAGACCATAGGTGGCCCTATTGTTATTGCTAATGCCAGCTGATGCCATAAATTTGAACAAATAAGAGATTGGTTGAATGCAGTTAATTATACTGCATTTTAGTGATTTAGCATTATGGAGAACTAATACGTTTTAATTATTCCATAAACAGCTTTTAATGCTAGATTTAAAGGTGCAATGCAGGCTTATTTCCATCACAAATATTTGTAATAATTATTATGTAGATGTTCGTGAATTTTGTAATTTTTTCCACATATAAAGGAAGAAACAGATGTAAAAGAAATGTAATGAATTGGACATTCCTCATGCCTATTAGATAATCCTACAATTTTTAATTATGAATAATTTCTACTTTTAATAATGAAATACATTACATTCTAATGTTTATATAGTGTAATTATGGTTGAGTTTCATTAATTTTTTACCAATTTTGAAAGAAGCTACCTGTATCATCTGCAAGATTATTTAACTTCAGCTTTACTAGTCTACCAAAGTATACAGCAAATATTGTACCCACATTTTCTTAATTTTTGTCAAGTATTTGTGAAATATTGATTGCACTTATGAACACCTGAAGCTCAGTTCACACTACATACAGTACAGTATTAGGGTTTATGTGACAAATTTGTGTGGCATGTCCATATATGGGATGATGAAGTCACATGACACCCAGATATGGGCATATCACGGTTAATTGTCAAATCTAATTTGATAATGTGGCTTAAGAATATTGAGGTATGTGGATGATATTTGAATACAAATAATATTTCAATAATTAATTACATAAATAACAACAAATGCCTTGGTTTTTTTTTTTTATCTAATTTTAAGATTTTTGAAAAGAAGTTTGTCTAGGTAGGTAATAGCAGTTTAGTATGTTTAACTTATATTAATAATTTTTTAATAATTATTTTGTTTTGCAATCAAAAATAAATGCTTTACTGTAGTGAGTTGAAGTGGTTGTTATATTATCATTATTTATTTACTTTGTGATGTTTTCTGTCCCAAACATATCAGAGATTCCTCTTCCAATTTAGGGTAGTCATTTTCTACTAAAAATCAGTTAATAAATCTGCAATTATTTTTGACAATACTGTAAATAAATTTCAGGCCTATATATCACAGTGAAATAGACCCCACGCTTTTAGCATTATACGAGTCTTTTAAAATCTTGCATGATATTTGCTTGATATTTATTCAATCAAGAAGATAAGCGCTTTATAACCGAAAGGAAAAGGCGTAATATAAATGCTCGTACCAGTACCAAGAAACAACGATGTACAGATAAGCTAGAGCCATGCTAGAGGGAGTTTTGGTGCTGATTTAGTGCTACAATGGACTTGCACATTTTTTTTTTTTAGTTTACATTCATGTAATGTACTACAATGTAAAGTGATATAGTTATTGCTGAAAATCTACTAGAAAATTGGCATTAGGTCAGTGGGGACCCACAACTGCAGTGCAGCGTATACCATTTTCAATATAACAGGAGACAGTTCCTTACTCTTGTTTAATGTACTGGGGTTTCTTTTTATATACTGTACATGTGTTATTATGCACAAGAGATCAACAGTTTTTGTTCAATGGACTGAAGAATGCCTTCGTAAGTCTCAAACTCAACCTGCCTTGCTCTAAATTTGCACTAAGTAGGCTGTATTTAATTTAATGTAGCACACATACCTTGCACATTATTTATTTTGGTTTTTCTACAAATACTACTGATAGCACAGATGCATTATGGCATGCAAACATTACATAAGATTAATACACACAATGAATTTACCAGAAAAAGAATTGTCTTTTGATGATAAACAATCATACTCTTAAAAACTAACCAATATGTATTCATAAAATCAAAATGAAATGGCAAAAACAATCAATCAAATGCATTTATATACCACCAGTATCCATTAATAATGTTCAAAGGCAATCGACAAGGAACAGGTAGGCTTTCAGACGTTTTTTGAAAATGTTGACGCTTTGTGAAGTTTTAAGACTAGGCCTACTGCCTATCACCTACTCAAGTTACCAGAATGAGGAAAAGTCGCACTAGAAAATTAAAGGAAAAGGAAATGGAGAACCACCATAAAGAGCATTTGAGGAAACAAAGGAGCCACCAACAAAGCAAAGATGGACGAAGGAAATAATCAATATACAGTAATTCTGAAAGATAATGCAAAGCTATTGTGTCGGCCTGAGTGGTTCAGTCCTAGCCTAGGGCCTGGCTATGTAGACACCACTTCAAAAGTTCGAACTTAAAATAACACTTGGAATGTTGTAATTGTAATTAGCTATTACCTTTGTACAAATATTATTACATGTGAATCACAAATATAATTAACTGAAGCAATTAAATACAAATTGACTGTAACAAGCCTAAGCTAGTCCTACCACACAAAGAAGGAGCTACTTACTTACCTAGGCCTCAGTTAGGCGTACATTCACTGGTGATAGGCTAGGCCTACACATGAGGCAGGTTATTGCTCCCCTACTAAATTTTCTCGCAGCTCCACTGTTTAGGAATATATACATACGGTACACAATCGTGCCTTATCTGAACTAACTGAGGTAGCCTTTTCTCCATTTCATCCCTTTCCTAAATTCTGTCTGTTCTTTTCTAATTTGTTCAAAACTAGCCCTGTCTGAAAACTTAAAACTGCTGTCTTAAAACCAAGTTGTTAAAACTTATCCTCCCTTCAGCCAATCACCGTCATAAATAGGGACTGGACTGTTACATTGCATTGATAGGGGTGTAGGATTGGACTCTACCATTAAATATAGAGGTGTCCTGGCCAGCTGGGAACTTCTTGAATCTGCCTCTGACAAGCATTATGAAAAAAATATATACGATGTGTGTGCACACATTATGTTTCTGTCCTAAAAATAATATTGTTAGATTGGTCATTCAATGCAAATGTACATTTAATGTGGGTAGTTTTTTTATTTTATATTTCAATATTTGTCTGCTTTATATGTCTCTATTATTAGGTATCTTCAGAATTAATCAGTTAGTGGTAAACTTGTAAACACTTATAATTGCAATTTTCATTAAGAATGAAGAAAAATAGACACACATTTTTTCAATCAGTCTTTATTAGTTATAGATATCTTTAGCAATTTCTGTTTAGTGGATTTTGAAAGAGTAAATTCACAGTAAACCATAATGTTGTGTTATTAAACTATTAAGATAATCAAGACAAAATGAATTACACAATTAATAAAAATGATGAATTAAATTTGATTAACTACTATAATTAATAGAAATCACAGAATTTATTTAATATTGATTTAAAAGCATAGTGCTGAATTTACAAAGGTGCTTGACCTACACAAAATTTGACGACATGTGTATATGACATACTGTATATATATCCCCATTCTTTTGCACATGCATAGTTGAAGAGCACAAGTTCATATTGCATGGCAATCAATCATACACCCTCTTCTTAAGCATTTAACAACAAGATGGGATCTTAGAAAAGATACTACATTTATGCAAATGAGTGTGAGGCATGAGTTTTATCAGATTTGAATTCCCAACAAAGTTGGTGAAGGCATCTGCATAGACAGGAAAATGTCCCGGGTTCGGCAGCTTTCTTTCACACTTACAGATTCTCCTTCTTTAACTTTCAAAATTCATATATCATTACAGCAAGATGGTTTACAGTTAATCTGGTTAAGTGGGCCAATAACTTGTTACTCAAACTAGGTTTTAGTTATTGTTACAATGATATACCGCTATAGAATTACAGTGGCGGATCCAGAGGGTTTCAAGGGGTTCGGACGAACCCCTCTCTGTGGAGAAACAAAATACTACTGGTCCTGGCTTACAAAAGGCATGCTAACCTACCAATTAGACATAGTCATGTAGCAGATCGCACAAATTAGGCTTAGTCCAACTAGCTTTCAATTAAATAATATTAAAAACTATGTTTTTGATTCGACGTCGTACTAATTTATATACGAAAATGCGTTCTTCATGCCTATGCGTTCATTAATCCATGGAAGAAAGACTACGTATCCAACTTGGCCTACTCAATATTGTTTGAATATAATAATATATTGCCTATGTTTTCTTTTTTCTATTTATAGGCCTAAGAATGAGATAAAAATCACCTGACCTTTTATTAAGAGAGGGAAAACCTTGAAATTTGAATAAATAAGAGGTCATTAAAAGACACCTCAGAAGTCGGGAAAGCTCATTCAGCCACCTAGGAATCAAAATTTTTAACACCCACTCTTTCAAATCCTGGATCCGCCCCTGAATTACATTGTAGGCATAGGTTTAAAATATCCGCTTAGTAAAATCTAGTAACATCAAGGCTTGGTTCTTAATCCTAAATAAAACCGGGTGAGGGGGAGGGAAAGAAAAGAATGTTCCTACCTGCTTAAATTTTACATTTAATAATAACCATGCCACTTTAAATGCAAATATATTTTCTTTTATATTAATTTTTTTCATATTAAAATATAATTTTGGTCATTATTACTTGTTCATCAGTGATATATTAAATTTGGTTCTTAATCCTAAATAAAACTGGGGAGGGGGAGGGAAAGAAAAGAATGTTCCTACCTGCTTAAATTTTACATTTAATAATAACCATGCCACTTTAAATGCAAATATATTTTCTTTTATATTAATTTTTTTCATATTAAAATATAATTTTGGTCATTATTACTTGTTCATCAGTGATATATTAAATTTGTACTGTGCCCTATGAATAGAAACTTATGAAAAGGAGTGATAAAAATGGTAACATGAGAAAAGTTCTGCCTTCGTAGGCAATAATTGCCTATGAATAAGTGCTCTAATTTCTGCCTGCAGAAGTGATAAGAAATAAGTATGAATCTAATCATTAACACGATAACAACCATATTATATTATATTTGTTTAAATCATGATGATTACTATCATTTTCCTATCCTAAAACATGTAAATGTTAAGAAAAATATATGTTGTACAAGATAGAAGTTTAAAATATCTGCACAGTTTTGTATACTATTTTTTTTCATACTTTAGGTTTAATTTTTTTTAAACTATTCTAGGAGGCCTACTGGTTTTTTTTTTAGGTCTTTGAGATAAAGGCTATCTGAGCTATGTTCATCATGTAATAACACCTACACTGTTAACATTCAACCACTAAATGTCAGTTATCAACAAGAAAATTATTTAGACCCATGGATAAAAACAAGCAATCTGCTTCAGTGTGATCCAGGACATGCTAAGGATATCAGTCAAGGAGTTCTGTCATCAGTCGGACTCAGCATATTTTTGGATGCTAGAAGACTGCCTTCGGGATGAGACTGGCGTCAGTCGGAGGAACTGAAATCCTTCCAATATTATACCAGACTGAAGTGTTTGCTTAGTAAAAACATGCATAGAAAACAAACAAATATAACAGCAGTATAAATAATTACAATAAAATATAGTGAGTAATTAACGCTTACATTCAAACCGCAGTTGATCATAAAAAAGATATAACAATCTGTCAGTGTTCATAAATAAGAATCCCTATAACTAAATATTCATTAAGCAATTTAATAATTATGGTTCCACATAATTATCTATATTTACAAGGAAGAATTACCTAAAAATTAGTCATATACCTGATCATAGAAGTTATTATTTATATTTCTTTTTTTTTAAAATGACTTAATTCATTTTATTCCCAGTAAACCAAAGTTTTAGATATACTTGAACAATATCATTAAATATTTAAATTGTTTGATTTGTATATGTATTAAAACTATTTAGCATTTGTCAACTGAAAATTAGAAACAAAAAAATGTTCATGCCAATTAAATATACATAAATAACACTGTTCCTATATACTTTGCACAAGTCTAAAAAGAACATTGGTTAACTGAAAATATATTATTATTATTATTATTATTATTATTATTATTATTATTATTATTATACCATAATAAAAAAATTATATTATTTTTAAACAACCAAAAAAAATGCCAAAAAACTTTGCAACACACTTCAAAACTTGGACTAATTAAAACCATAGAAAATATTTATTTTTACAAAACAAATCAAAATAGTTCTGCAGATCATAAATTTTAATATTATGAGTTTTACTGCTATAATAGTATAAACGAAAATGCCAATTTATGAAGCCACATTAAGTCCAGATAAATTGTTATGTGAACTTGTGAGCATGAAAAAAATGGTTTATTCTATCTTTACTGCTCTCCAGCACTGCCCTCAATTTTGATGTTAATTTTGTATTTATTTTATTCATACTTGCGGTTTTAGGTTACCAAAATTTTTATACGGCAAGACTTTTTCATACCTTGTTTCACAAAATAAATTTTTTCAAAGATAGTCAGAGGAGGGGGGAAAATAAATTAAAATAATACTTTGTTTTATTTGTATTTAGCAAACAGCTTTGCCAAAAACATCCAGATGGAGGAGAAAATAAAAATAAAATTTTATTGCTGAATGTAAACAGAATGGGATAGATAAATGCTTTAAATTTATATACAGTAATTAGGAAGAAATAATCATACAGTATCTTATTTTTGGTGATTTCAAGGCAGCGGCGGGCATAATAAAAAAAAATTTTCTATTTTTTGTGACGGCGGGTGTGTTAACTGGCCACTTATTCGAAATCATCACTTATTCGAAATCATCATTACTGGCGGTCAACGGGTTCGCTCAACAAGATACAAAAGTCTCGCCTAAAACATAAATATACCACATTGACTGATTGCATGCAGGATGTCCTTGACTGTTCATACTTGACGTCTTTGTACACAGTGTCCATGTACACGTACATAATACTCTTTACGTGCTTACACATGTCCTTGCATGTACGTACATCAGAAAATGCTGAGTAAACTGAATCGTTATTGCCACTCTTCCCTTTGGATTCCAAGCCTGCAAGTTGATGATATAATACCTCACATGATTGGTCAAATGACAGGTCACATGATTAAAGAAAGGTATCCTCACATTCAATTTCCTGGAATAAAAAAAGTAAAGCTATGTAATATAATAAACAATAGCAATGTGTTTATTTTACCGACTTACACTCAATTTAGCTATCCATAAGGTTAGGATTGGAGTGCGCCCCCACTGATCATCACAAAAATTGTTCTTTTACAGCGTTGTCATACGTAAACATGTGTACCTGGTGTGGCACCAACGTTCCTCGACAGATGGGCCAGGGTACCTCAGCCCCAGGTTTATTTATTATTCCCCAACAGATTTTATTGTGGATCTCCGGCGGTGGTCCAGGCCTCTCTCTACGGTGGGGCCAAGGCCCAGTCAACCCACCTGCTGGCGCCACACCCCTGATGTGTATTTATGGGAAGCAAGTTGCTGGCTCTGTTCTGATTATTTATTTTGATAAATTATATATTTATAAATTTTTTTCCATATCTGAAGAACCTTGAAGTGTTCCACATTACTACCTTGGCCACGGGTACAGCAACAGTAATAATCACACTCCCAATGTACAACCTTTCCTCTATACCTTGCATATTATAAATCCATTTTTTTATCCTTATTAAATTGTTTAAAAAAATGTATAATACTGACAGTGATAGTGAAAGCATTTCATGCCCGACTTTTTTAAAAAATTAGTAAAATATAACTGGTATATTGATTTCAAATTTAGCAGAACTTAAAATCAAAGCGAAAGCATTGTTACCATAAAAGGTAAAATATCTGTGATTAAACCTTAATTTATTTGTATTAATTGACAAGAAATATATTTCATTGCATTTAATTTCAATTAAAAGCAAATAGCTATAAGAAAATATATTAAATAAGCAACTTTTAAATATCGCATTTTGTTTTGCATTGTTGTAGCAATGTAAACACAGACACAATGTAAACACAGGCACAATCAATGTCAGTACCTTCAACAATGGCAGTCTTACAAACTGTAATATATTACTTGCCTTAAACAGCACCACAATTGGCTGTATATATAACAATATATTTTTATGTTATGTATATGATGTGCATATCAGGTGGATTATTAGATATTGCAATGTTTAAAATAATAGTTTGGCACCAGAGATTCCCCTACGAGGGTCCAAAGTACCTGACGGGTTCACAACATCATGGGGCTAAGCTGAAGTGAGCAAATTTTAAGAATAAAGAGAGACTTTTTTTATACCTTGTTAAACGAATCCGCCGACTGCAAATATTTATGATTTCGAAATTAAAAAAAAAAAATTATTTTTGGCCCATAGCGCACCCAACACCACGAAAAGATAGAAATTTCAGAAAAAAATAAAAGTTTTTCTTTATTTTTATTACGCCCTCTGCTGCCTTGAAATCTCCAAAGATAAGATATGTATATAGAGAGCAGCTTAGCTCAGTCGGCTAATCTGCTGGTAGCCGCTGTGTGTGCGCTGAACCGTAGAGATCTCTAGGTCCCTGGTTCAATTCTAATCGCTGCCTCTCCTTGTGTTTCAGCTAGAGGGCTGAAATACAAGTTATAATAGCGCACCGTCTTTCGGATGAGACGTTTAAGCCGTTGTCCCATGTGCATTATGGCCCATGTGCACGTTAAAGAACGCAGTACACTCTTCGGAAAAGAGTAGGGGATTGTCTCCCAGTCTCCCGGTGTGCTAATTATATAAATTTGAAGCATTTAATCCTATTTTACATTCACAAATAAAATTTTATTATTATTTTCTCCTCCATCAGATGATTTGGCAAAACTATTTGCTAAATAAAAAACCAAAATTTTATTTTTATTTTTAATCCGCCCATTTCTTTATTCTTCAAAAAAATAAGTACGCGAAACAAGGAATAAAAAAGTCTCGCCTAAGCATCTCTAAATGCTCTGTCGGGTTTGGTACCAGACAGAAAATGGCGTGCTCTTGTGAAGGCCAGAGAGAGAGAGAAATGCACTATAATGGCACTCTCAATCTGTAAAAAATGCTTTATCAAAGCAGTGTTCCCCGATGAAACATCGGCTACTTTCCCAACGAGAGTACCCAGGGTTCTCCAACTGAAGGTTCCATGCCCTCAGATCCCCTACTGGCGTTTCCACTATATAAATAATGTTCCCACACAAACATCAATGAGAAACAAAAATGTAGTGTAGGTGAAAATAAACTTGATAAAATTAATATAGTCATCACAGCATGCACACACAACTTGTTAACGTAAAACAAGATAAAGGTAAAAATAATTCGAATTTATGAAAACCTATTCTTCATATTTGACGACACACCGTAACTTTTAAATTCATATAGAATTTGAGACAGAAATAACATGTATACTTTATTATTACTATCCATTTGAGACCAGATTGAGGTAATAATTCTTAAAAAGAGTAATTTTAGCAAGCACCAAAATGATTGTAGGATTGTGAGCATGAAAAGCATGGCATTTGTCGGATGATTACAGGAATGTTGGGGGGAGGAAGAGTTAGCTGGTAGAGGGTGTGAATTTCAGGTGATAGGAGCAAACAGGGTCCACAGGCAGAGCCCCATGTGGGATGCAAGGAGGCTTAAGCCAGCACATCTGGTTCAGAAGCAAGATTATGTATTTTAAAATTTTCATGTTTTTTCATTTGGTTTATTACACTGTTGGGACTGTATGCTTTATAAAAACATACATAGCTTCAAAACATTATGTAGTAATTGTAAATAAAAAGCTACTAAATTCTTAGAAAGGTAATAAAAGGAATCTTAAAATTTGATAAAAATGTACCGTTTTCCAGCCTTCAAAGTGTGGATTTCTTTTTTTGGTAATTACTTGTGGGTGCACTTTCACCATTAAGCATTTTCTACCTGCTTCACAAAAATACTAGAAACAAATAACATGTGTATGGGCTTGTTGTGCATATGTGAGAAGTGTTACGTGCTTGCATGTGTACGTACAGGTTCCACCCTCCACCTGCACATTGGCCTGCATTGCATACATGAATGCTGGCATGTGAATGGTTTACATATTCACTATATTTTGCACCCGCCACCTTGCTTATGAACCTGCCGCATATATGTGAAGGCTGGGTATGCGAATGCCTACAAAAAAAAGTTGCACTGCATACAAGTCAGCAATGCATGTCATCACTGGTGTGTAAATAGTGTGTCTATTGGTACATTTACATCCAGCCATACATACATACCGGTACGTCAATGCTGGTATGTGAATAATGTGACTACAAACCAGTTGGACCTGCCACCTGCACACAGGCCATTCATGAATATGTGTGAATGCTGGTACGTGAATAGTAATGACATGAAAAGCTCACAACAAAGTGAACATGCTCAAAATGTACTTGTGCTTACTATAGAATATTAAAACGAATGTGTGCACAAATAACCCAATTAATGTGCTATGAAAAAAGAAACTGCAAATTCATCCCTCACCTAAGCCCTACCATTGCCTCATAATTCCATGCTGTACTTTTTCTTTATAAGAGAAGTAAATGAGAAGAAGCATATTCAATATAATGAATAATAGGTCAGATTATGAACAAAAACAAAAATTAAGATGTTTCAATACAGTAATGTCAGGCACTCCATGTGCTCGATGGTCGTCGGCCGACACGATTCTATGCAGAACGTAACGCAACTACGAGTGCACAATGGATCGTTTTTATGACGATCCATTCAGACTGCCACCGACAATCAGCAGACGGCGTCACATCGTCTAGCGCTCACAGGGGTCAAAGTTGGATTCGTCATACAACGGTCGCATGCAGCGGTGCTGCAGCTTAATGGATTGTAAAGTAGTTTGCTGACTGGAGGTTCTGCAGCAAACTGTATGCCTAGACATCCTTCATATGTAGACTTCTAATAATAATAAAAATATACAGGTTTTATATAATGCGTTAGTCAAGGCATCCGTGTCCTTCACAATATGACCCACATGCTCAACTCCAAGTAGAGAATCATTGAATATTACAGTTATTCAGTGCATTGGTGTTCAAACCCATCAGCTATCTACTGTGTACGTGGGCGAAGAGTCTACTACTTTAAAACTTGGCTGTACGCTGTTTCAAAATAATATAAACATATCACTCCCACATTAAAACGCCTTCACTGGTTACCTATCTCCTTTTTATATTTCCAAACTTTCAACTTTGCGCTCGCAGATCAACTACCTCTGCATCCATTCTTTCTGTTCCCTCTAGTCGCACGAAGACAGTAAGTGAGAGAGCTTATCGAATTGATGCTCCAAAACTTTGAAATGGTTTGCTACAATCTGTTCGTGTATCTCCTGCTGCAGAGATTTTCAAAATAAGACTTAAAAGTCACCTTTTCAGTTCAATATCGTTTTCTTTCTGTCTTTCACTTCTGTTTTTGGTTATCTGCTTTTTCTTGTTGTATACTGTTTTCTCCCTTTGTTCCTTTTGTTTTTGTTTTTTTCAGAGCACTCCCTCTAATTGGCACACTGACAGTTTGTAATATGCGCCTTATACAGTAAGTCAAAGTTTAAATTGGATGCATTGGAAAGTTCCTGGTCAAAGAACACAAGCAAAACAGACAGCGAGGGGTTCAGCCAATTGTCCTTAAGTTCAGAAGCCAAATCGCAACCACTGCAGTATCTACTCTCTGGCATACAATGACTAATAATAATAAATTGGTTACAATAGTTCTGTAGTTCTGTAACCTTGACCTTGTCCTTTTGACTTTTTTGTTCCCAAAATATAATCATCTTTTTCTTAGATTTTTATGTACCATTTCACAAGTATGAGTGTAGGTAATTTTCTATGCAAGTTTACTTAAGTTATTTATATGTTTTGATATATATAGAAATGAAATTCTGAAATTAAATGATGAATGAATATGTATTATAAAAGTAAAACAGTGGCGGATCAAGGAATTTAAAATGGAGGGGCTGGGGCTGGGGGGAGAATACTTTCACAGATAGAGGGACTAAACCCATCATGGTTTGGGCTGAAGTAAAAAAAAAATATGATTATGGCACCTTTAGATGGCCAGAAATGGCAGCGTTAGATGGCCAGAAATGGCACCTTTAGATGGCCAGAAATGGCACTCTGAGACTTAAAATTGTTATCTCAATTTCTCCAGTCATTCCATTATCTCCATGAAAAAAATTGGGTGACAGCATCCCCCACCCCCCTTGAATCCACCACTGTGAAAGATTATGAAAATATTTATTTACTTATTCATTTATGTTAATCCTCATTTCAATAGCAGAAAAAATTATGGTATCTTACTTAAACAATTATGTTATAAAAATGAATTTGAAACAGAATAAAACAAAGATTATAATATTGGTAATTTTGTCATTAAGATACAGCACTTGAAACAATAAAAAAAATAAATCAATACAATTGCTCATCTTAACACAAAGATCAGAATGTCTATAGATATAGAATATATGAGTGACAAATTATGAAAGTTTTTTTTCAAACCTATAGAGATCTCTATCTCAATCATATTTACTGTCATTGCTCAGAACACAGAAATTTGCTTTGCTCTGTGCATAAAACACAGCTAAAAGGCAGAACAAACACTTACAAAGATACAATGTACAAAACTAACATTACCTAATATTTAGAGCCCTAATAACTTGAGGGTAGAAGCTATTTTTAATCTGGCCTTTCTGGCCTTTAATGATCAAAAACTGCGCATCAATTGGAATAGACTTCAGGCTGGATGAGTTTGGTCGTCCTTAATAGCCTCTGCCTTTTTAAGAGGCCGATCACAGAAATGGTTTCCAGAGGCACTTGTACCAAACTAATAATGAGCGTTGCAGTCCTGACATTTCTATTAAGGTCATATATGTCGTTTTCGGTAGCGTCCCCGTACCACACGATTATAGATAATGTTAGGATGCTTTCTATTACAGATCTATAAAATGACATAATTTTAAACAGATGCATTCCAAATTATTTAAGCCTACGCATAGACTACTGAGTCGATAATAAATGTAAGCTTTATGAACATATTAACTGACACCTATTTATGATTTTTGATTTCATGTCAATTAAGATAAGATTATATAACTGCTACTGTCCACAACATTTATTGTACTAGAAAATTTTTTTCTCTTTGGCAATGTAAATTTCCCTCTGTAACATTTTTACATTTTATCTTATAGTTTTTTTATCATAATATTAAAAAGTGAATTTGTTTTGACCACCTTTCAGTTTGTTAATATATTTTTATTTTATACTTGATTTTAAAAGAAAGTGTCTATTCTGAAAAACAAAGAATTGCAGACAGAACTAATGAAACCACACAAGAAATAATTTATTACTGCACACCATGTTTAGAAAATGCAACCTGGTAATTGTTCAGATGGTACATACAAACAAGACATCAAAAAGCAATGTTCAGAAAATTATGTTATTGCAATTGACGTTGAAAAATTTGAAACTTTTCATTTTAGTTTTGCGAATTGAGGTCAGAGACACTGTTCCAGTGATGGCATTTGGAATGCTTGTACCTACGATAACAGAAAGGTAATGAGCTTATTTGTATTCTGAGAGCCTTTTCTAAACCTGTTCAAAAAAGTTGTAAAATGTGTAACACAATTCAGACCTATTTATTTATTTCAGTATATATTGAATATAGTATTATAATCCATAAGCGTAGCTAAAAGGTTATCATTGTTTCGATGATGTGATCATGTAGCTACTATAAGCACCTCTTTACGTGGCTAGAGATTCATGGACCACACCCATATGCAATTCCTGTCTCTTATACACATCTAGATGTGTATAAGAGACAGGTGGAGAACTGCTGTATATTAACCATTGATGATCTACAATGAATTTTCTTTATGGTGCTTGGGAGTGGAGAGCTGGTTATTTTCACAGGTCCCTAGACTACCGTAAGTCACAAAACTCTCCCAGAATCAGGACGGCCTCTAGCACTCCCACAAGCAAGAACCTCCCAGAAAATACCCTAAATTCATAATATTTGCATGTTTTTACTAGTTTATTATCAATTGTCTCACAGAAGTCAGTGGCGATAAGTATCATGCGCAGTTTAAAAAAAATTTTAAATGTGCTAAGAAAGCTCATTTAACTAGATCTCCCACATGGGACTTCTTCCAACTTTGGACCCCTGCATTTGGGATTTCAATGTACTATAACCAAGTCTCTTTATGAGGCTTGGGAAATTGAGAACTTATCTATTTGGAACTCTAGATCCTACAACCCAGCCTCTTCATGTGAGTATGGAGTTGATTATTTGGAACCCTTGATGTTTTAATAAACCAAGTTTCTTTTATGCCGCTTGGAGGAGTGGAGGGCTGATCATTTGGACCCTTGACGCACCCAAACCAAGTCTCTTTATGAGACTTTGTAAGTGGAGAGCTGATTCTTTGGTACACTTGATGCTCTGTCCTGAGTATCTAAATATACTGATGTCACATAACCAAGCCGATGAGGCTTGTGGAGTGGATAGGTATCATTTGGTATCCTCAATGTTCTACAAAAACCAAGTCACTTAGGGAGTAAAGAGCCTTCCTTGTTAACTTGCAACCAAGTTTCTCTATGGAGAGTTGACAATTTGGCATCCTTAATGCTCTGTATAGCCACTTTATTAGGCAGATCACATTCTTGGTAATTAATAAGCAGTCGCTTCAATAGACTTGGGAAGCACAAAGATGATCATTTGGATCCCTGGATGCTTTATAACCTAGTGACTTATGATGCTTATAGAGTGGAGAGCTTGTAACTTGAAACCCTTAATTGTTGCTCAATAACAAAGTACTCTATGGGAGTGAGTTTGTTATTTGGTGTGAGAAGGATCCTGATATATATTTATAAAATTTATTGCAACATTCAAATTAAGCAGTTCATTCTTTTTATGTAAGTACTAGTAGTATACTTCATATATATTATATTCACATAAATTAATCAAGCTCACCTGCACATAAAAAATTCGCCCAGAGCACGAAATTTCATAAAGGTTGTCTCTCTGAAGTTGGGGTCTGGAAAGAAAAATATTATATATTTATATATTTACATATTCATTTATTTATATGTTGTATATTTATATTATGGTGAGTCAAGTGGTCGAGCAGTAAGGCAAGGGCGTCGCTCACTACAGCCTTAATATCAGCGCAAGTTCCAGCCACTCCTTGCCTAGGGTTCAGTTGGTAGAATCAAGTGAATCAAGTCTTCTCGGATAAGGACTTGGAGGTCCAGTATACTTTTAAAGTACCCATTGCATCTTTCGGAAGAGTAGGGGTTACCCCGATGCTGTAGTTGATTTCAGCCCTGTCGTTGTGGAATGATATGAACATGCAGCTATTATAAGTGCCTCTTTATGGCTGCTAGGTAGTCATGGACCACGCCCATATGCAATTCAGCACAATGACGCTGCAAGTTATAGGTTATTCTCCTACCTTTATCCTTTACCATATTTATTCAATTGATTGCAAATGACAGAAAAAAGCTTGACATTGCTTTATGCTACCAGTTGTTTTCTGTTTTTCTCTAATTACAATTAAAAAAAAAATTATGAGTATAAACATAATTCTTTTAAATAATTTTTTTGTTTGCAAACTATTTCTTCAGAATATCATACTAAATGTAAAACACAACAAAATCTTGAAAGGAAATACATTGTTTTTCAATAAGGTCTCAACTACTTACAGTGATGTATTATATATACAAGTTAAATATATACAAAAGCAAAAATATATAATAAATCAAAATAATTATATAATTTTGATAAATTAAGAGAAAAAGTTAGTGATAGTAGATTGAGTATTATATGAAACCTTCTGCTTATTTTAAAGAGTTTTATGTCACTTGTGTATTAAATTGACTCCATATTTAGTACATCAGTATTCATTCATTCATTCATTATTTTTATTTCAAACACAACAGCAAGGCAAAAATACAATCAAAACAATCGAGAAATATAAAAATATACAATTCATAAGGTAAAAGACATTAAAAAAGGAATGCATACACAGTAGACCTAAATTTTGCTTTGAGATTATATTATATTGTTGTTATTACTATCACAGCCATTATTATTATTATTATTATTATTATTATTATCATTAATATCATCATTATTGCCATCATCATTTATACTATATTGCAATTATCATTCCTTACTAGATTACTAAAATAAGTTGTAAAAGTCAACATGTACTTTGTAGCAAAGCTAAATTGTAGTATAGGTTACAAGCAAATATTTAACATACAAAGGGAAACATCCAGCAAAAATCACGAAAGAAACAGTGATTATATAAAAGCTCTTAAATTATTCTAGGATTTTTCAACTAGAATGGTTTTACTCTGACTTTGTGTCCAATGTGAGGACAAATAATCACTCAGTTCAAAATGTTGAAATAAATTTAAAGAATATTGTTCTTTAAACACTTTAATAAATAATTGTTCTCAAAATTTATTACTAAGTTGGCACTACTCAACCATATGATACTCAATTATACACCCACGCTTGCCATGTGTTCTAGTTCTTGATTGTGATCTGTTTACTTTTTGCTATAAAATGTTTTTATCTAAGTTTCACTTGTGTATTGTAATTTTGTTTGCAATCTATGCTGGCAATATGAAATGAAAAATAATATTTAAAAATCTTGAGCTATAAACTTGTTTAAAATTGGTTTAATAATAATAATAGTTGTACATTAAAGTTGTGGCCTTACCTAATATGATTTGTTAAATGTAAACTGAATTTGCAACTAGTGGTAGTTTTGAGCCTAGTTCAAACCAGAAATTTAAATTTTCATAATAGGGACGTATATTTGTTTGCACTCAGAAGTGGAAATGCTTGAAGTAGTGAAATAATCCTGCTGTGGTTGTATGATTTTAACCCAACCCTGGGGATTACGAGCATCTTTAAACCACAAACTTGCATGTAATTCAACGTTACAATGAAAGTAGCATTATGCAATCTTAACATCGATAAAAGTCTGGATATAATCCTAGGGCACTAGCAGTAAGATGGAAATCTTGATAATCCCGACACTCCTATTCTGAATCATGCCAGAGAATTACATATTTCTATAATGTTAAACAAACATCAAGAACTACAACTGGAAGGGAGAAAATCAATCTAGGTGTAAATCTTAACTTCCATCAATCATATGAGACTTGTTATATCATAGAAGAATGAAATAGATAAAATACTTAATAAAATATTTTATCCTCTTTTGTTGTACCATGGAGGAATTAGTTTACTAATTACTAATTTCTCCATGGTTGTACCAGAGCTGAAAAAGTTTATATTGGCTTCGTTTCTGGGAAACTGAAAAACTGACATTGTGTTTTAACACATATACCAAAAAACTCTGATTATTTTCACAGAAGAAACTGATGCAAAAAACATTGATAGCAGCATTAATGCTTTTTAAGAATGTATTTACAACATGCCACTTATGGTCACTATATTTGCTGTACAATAGACCGATTCGGTGATGGGCGTCACATGATCTAACTTGGGTGTTGGATATAAACAATGGACTGGCACAGCGGTGTCTTACATGGAGATTGCTATTGTGGCCGTCCTTTGTTATTGCTGTAAAATCATCATAATTCCCAGCAAACTATACAAACTTGATTGGAAATTGAACTTGAGAATTTTGTTTTAAGGTTTTGCTAATGCTCGAAAAGATAATGGCCGCAAACTTTGAGATTTTCCAACAAATGTTAGGCCTAGGCCCCTCCATATCCACTACCTGTTTAGGTATGCATGAGAGTCTTCAACCAGGGAACTACGCTATGATTTAAGGCTAACTAAGGTTTACAAAGGATCACTTAAAATTTCAAAGCATACAATGCTAGAAGAACGCTGGGATAAGTAAACACTATCCTCAACAATCGTATCGACTTTCCTTGCCATTTATTTCTCACGTTAACAGTGGGAAGTTGTTTTCGTGACAATAATAATAGCTTTTCCTATATTTTCGCACTGTAATGTTTTCCATGGTATACCCAAGTTATGTCACGTGACCGGCTGTAAACAAACATCGCCAAATAGGTCTATTGATCAGTTTTTTTCATGGTAAAATATGGAAAAAACAGTCATAGGCCTTAATAAATTTTAACGATGTAACAAAAACACAAACATTTGGCATTACTTTGAACAGTGGTTCCCAACCTGGGTCCGTGAAAATTAATCGGGGGGTCTGCCAAGTCAAAATTTCAGGATTAGCCACTGTTTAATGTTGTACTTTTGTGGCAAATCATTTTCTATCAATAATCGTATTGTTGCAAACATCATTAGAAAAAATAGAACCATTTGCCAGCATTCAAAATTATATCTACATCATTATATTTGCCATTATTATCATAATTTAACAATATGATAAATCAACACAATATTTTATTTATATCCTTATTACAATTATCATTTGAACTATCTGATTTCTCTTTGTCGAAAAATTGCAATGTTTAAAAGATAGCAAAAATACATTTGATACTAACATTTAAACAATAGTATCTATTTATCTTATCAATAAAATCAGGTTTTCAAAACAGGTTTGTAACTTTCAGATAATATAAACTGTTTCAGGTATCAATTGGTGTTTCCTTATTTACTTAACTTCCTTATTCGTAGCCTACACCTCCATAAGCATATATTTTTACAAATTTAATTATAAATAAGAGGGAAGCAGGTACACCCAGAAATTTTGAATCGTTTATCATAAAAAATTATATTCTTCAAAGTAATATATAGAAATTTATATTGTATATGACTGTTATTGAAAATTAATATAGGTAAGTGAAATATTTATCACATTACCAACAAGTTAGTTTAACAATATATACTTTGAGCCCTTAATTTCACAAAGGTTTATGCACGGATATGGTACATATACAGTATGGCTCTAAGTACCAAATCTTACAAAAGGGTGTCTGTGGAAAGAGGGATAAAAATGTAGGCATATTTCAGAGACAATGCAGGGTCACCTACATGTTATACTGTAAAACATTGAATTGCAGCCCTGGTCTTCGTTTTTTTTTTTTGGCAAACATTGGATGGGCTTCAATTCGAGGATACTTTTGCAAAGTAAAGAGGGGCTTCTTTAAAAAATGAATGCTATAAATTTTGGGAATTACTGCTATAAAACAATAAATAGGGCCACTGTAACATCAATCTGTATCATGGTCCATGGAATGTATTAACCAGCATTAAATCACCTAAACTGTATAAACCAAGTGTGTTTTTCTCGAAAAAATCTCGAAAAAAAGCCCATGCTATCTTGAACAAAAAGGAGATCATGGGCTGCTTTTCGACACTACTTTTGCAAACTAAAGGGGGGGGGGCCTTCAATTCGAGATGGGCTTCTTCTCGAAATCAAGCCCATTGGGCTTATATTTAAGGTTTTACGATATTTCAAAAGTTGGACACACAAGACTAGTGGGATACTATTTACTACAGCTCCTCCAGTAGGAAACTAGGGTATAGGCTGGTTTCTTCCTGGGGGAGGGGGGAGATGCAAAAATTGAGAATGCTGAACTGGTGTGTGCGAAAAATTGAGAAAGCGGAACTAAATCCCCCCAGCCTATGCCTATGGAAAAACATTGAGAAGAACAGCTTTCCATTGTGCAGTGTTGGTATTACCCCCGTTGCAGACATGACCAACCCAAGGAGATTTACACAACTTACCCTAGTAATGACACTTGACATGAGGTGATGTCTTTTTGTGGAATAGTCCTTATTGGAACTTTATCCTGCAATGACAATAAGTAAGAGACTTTTAAAAATGCAGCACAAACAACAATATCAACAATGATAATGATATATGAATAGAATCTTTGGCGAGTTGCTTGGTTGATTGGCCGAGCAGTTAAGACAGTGGAACCGTGACATATACAGTAGCCATACAGTAATATCGGCACTGGTTCGAATGGCACGCTCGCCTATGGTTCTGGTGGTAGAACAAGTCTTCTCGGATAAGGTCTCTAAACCGTAGGTCCAGTGTACTGTACATAATTGCACTTTAAAGAACCCACTATATCCTTCGAGAAGAGTATGGGGTTACTCCATTGTACTGGTCTATTTCAGCCCTCTGTTCAACCAACGAAGGAATGCTTACGTCGCGGCCCGTGTCAGGTATCCTACCTGCGAATCCTTCTACCACAATAAGTAAGCAAGTTCATACACACTAGATACATAGTGACTTGAGAAGAATAGAATGGGTACAGTTTGCAAGCTCTAGAAACATTAAATTGGAGTGTCTGGTACAGAAGTATTGCTATGGCCTTCCAATAAAAAGGCGGTCAGTTCAAATTTGGAGCTATAGTTACATCATTGCCTGTTTAAACGATATTTGTCTGTTCACCTAGGACCCTGGTTCTTAATAGGCGGCCCGGGAGCCAAATTTGGATCACGAAGCAAATTATTCTGGCCTGCAATTAAATTATAAAAAAATATATTCAAAGAAACTAAAATTAATAACCATTCGCTGAATATTTTTTCAATATAGTGAAGGCCAAAACACAACACTGGGCCAATGTGAGGTGTGACCGCCACCCATATATAGAAGTAAAGCCGTTATAAACCAATCAACCAATGCCAAAAGATTGGCAGTCTAGTTCAGCTAAATATGACATGGCAAATTAAAAATTTAATTTAAAAACACTTTATCAGATGCTTGTTTTTATTATGAATAGACCCAAGATTTTACAGGCAAAATGTTTTTAGGCTTTAAAGCCTTGGTATTTGGTGGATATAGGATAGGCGAAATCACACAGAAAATACCGATTGTCTGCCAAACTATTAAGTTGAACAAATTTTGTATGGCTGATAAAAAAAAAATACTGTGTTTTTGTCACGATTATGCCTGTAACTTCATGTTTGGTTTGAAAATACTCCTACAGGATTACTATTACCAGGGAGTTGTTGTATGGACAACGTCTGGCGGGTAACAATATTTGGTTAGGCGTAAGAAGCAAGGTCAATATGACAGAAAAAAATATCCAGTTTTACTCTGATGGGGGAAAAAGCCCAATTCAGGAAACGATACTTCGCCCACAGTTACAATTGCACAAAGAAAGACATGACAAGTTCTGTTACCAGTCACCGACAACATTAAACGTCTAGCAATCTTGAAAAATATTTTTGGCATGAAAATGTTTTATTTTAAATCTGTATAAGCCTTCTTATTACTAGGCCTATGCAACTATTCAAGGATTACTTTGAATACGGCACTTTACCACTTATCATGTGTTGAGCTCTTCGGAGTCAACAGCCAACCATTACTTAGTTTAAAGAGTAGGAATATATTTAGTTACATAAATATTTTGATAATTTATATTTTTAAACTTACTTTTTATTGTGATGTGCATAGAGGTCATGACAATATGCACCTTATCAGTCCACCATTATTATTATTATTATGCAAAGTACTTAAAACCGTCTGTTGGGCCTGAGGGAAAATAGCCTACCTACCGAAGTGTTTGTGAGGCCAGTTCCTTAATATTATGGTCTAAAAGTACAATTTGTGTACAGTAATATACAGTAATACGGCCATATAACCCTTCTGCGCTAATGTAATTTTCCCGTTGAACCTAACCTGAGGAGCTAGAAGGTCCCTTGGCTTGGACCTGGCAGTCAGCAAAATTGTGGAGCCCTCACTGCAATGTACATATGCATATACTATAAGTCAATATTACTATACCTTGACCTACTGTACAACTGAAGAGGAAATTATGAGATTGGACCACGGTCGGGGAGATGAGAGTGGGCAGAGGTGATTACCGCCACCTTAGGTCAACATTCTGATCAATTACTGTTTCATTACCTGATCGGATTTGAAGTAGGATATGCCAAGATTATCGAGTACAAAAAACCGCCTTTTCCAACTTTTCCTCTGAAATAAAGCATTTCATTAACAGAGACACTTAGATAATGATTTGTTTCACTTTTGTCAATCAAGTAATATCGTTGTTTCCTTGCATTTTCTTTTTCTGTCTGTAATTTTACATGTGAAGTCAAAATAATCTAAATGAAATGACAAAGTTAAATATAAAAAAAAACATTCAAGATTCAATTCTTTATTACTGCTAATATTAACTATTATGAGCAAAAAATTTGCCGACCTTAAATTCTCCAAAGTCGGCAGCCTCGGCAATTTTTTACTACCTAGGCCCATATAGTATAAACTACGATTTTTCTGAACGCTCGACCTTACATCATCATCTAGATTGTGATTTTGTTAAATTTCTCTATTAAATCAATATATTGCTGGTGAAAGAATAGTCGTACTTGTATTAATTTAATAGTGTAGTATAATACATATGTTTCACATAAGAAAATCACCGAATAAATTTCGTTTTAGCGTTCGTTTTATCGTTATCTTTGGCATGGGAAATATCACTTTCGTAAAAGCTACAATCGTATCATCACAGGCAGCTTCAAAACTGCCCATGCATGTCCTTGCGCATGCCCAGAATGATCTATCAGGGATTTTCCACACATGTACAGTACTTGTCAGTAAGTCACGATATGATCGTGATTGTGTTTAAACGGACGGTAGGATTAGGCCTACAATATGTTGAATTTTGTTGTTTTTAGATAATAAACAACATTTTAAATATAATAATACTGTAAAATGAAGACAAATAATAGATTTAGATAAGCATTACGATCTATGCGGCCCACATGGCTTCAATTGGGCGATGTTGTAGGCCTTGGCCGGCTGGCGTCATTCCTACATAGGCCTAGTCTACGAAACGACTAGGCAAGAAAGAAAAGACAATTGTACACAAATCGTACGTACTGCATGCCTATTATAAATAGTTATTGTTCAAACAAATCTGTTTTATGAACCACCAATTTGGTTTGACGACGTACTGTACATGAAATTTAGTGTCCACTATAGCCTGTTTCAGCCAAAGTTTTTGACTTTCCAAGCAGTTTTTGAAGCAAAGAAATCTAGGCCTAGGTCGGCAAAAAATTGCTGTCCTGTAGCAATTTTGGCTTGGCAATATTGCCGATGTGAAATTCGTGGGCTGCGTGGTACAAAATTATGATTGCACTTTGAAACATACTCAGCTGTTAAGATCATATATAAAAGAATGATGTAAAGAAAGTGAGATTGAAGATTAATAGTTTTGATTACAATTAACAGACTATTAGTTCTAGTCTGTAGTATGCATTCTATAATACTGGTAAAATCGCAGGTAAACCTCAACATTTCAATTACTGTACATCACAGATATGGCCATTCCACAGAACAAATTTAATTACAGTAATCCCCAACTAGACATGGATCAAATGCAGACAGTGATCAAACAAAGAATTTTTATCAAAAATATTCTTATACTGATTACCAGCCAATTAAAAGGTTGACTTATAGGCTATAGGAATTCATTTTTTTTTTGTGTCTTGTTAATTAATAAGATAATTTTTTCATAAGGGGTCGTTCACAATTATCAACATTTCCACAGGTGTACAAACGGTACTCTTTTTCGGTATCCCGTCCTACCCCTCTGAAAGTGTACAGAAAAATGCTGATATTTTTGTGAAGTCAAATAAAGCAATGTACAGTACTTGGTTGTTTAAAAATGTTATATCCATGGTTACATTATAATTTTACCATTATTTTACATACTGCATGCTATTTTGAATCAACCTTTTTATGCATGTAAAAGTGTACAAATTTGTCTACCCCCTCCCCGTAGCATACTGATGGTACACTTGTGAAAATGTTAATAACGTTGAACAACCCCTAATTTAATTGAAAGTAAATAACTAAGAAAATCATGTCAAATTAGGCAAATTATACATAGTATTAAATTAATTTTGTTATGATTTCACAGCTCAGTTCAGCTAAGTGAAATTGAAATAATGGTTAACACTCTAATAAGATACAGATTTTTAATTATTTAAGTAGTAGGAGGAGGAAAGGGGAGAACCCCTTCTTCAGTGTACAACATATCCAAAATTTGTGTTCCTACTAAGCCTGACTTTAAAGGCATAGGACATGTGTTATTAATATCATTGTGATTCCAAAAATTTCAAAACATAAACATCATTACAGTAACTAGTGCTGGAAGTTTCATCAATCCAATTTTGACAAAATAAATTGACTTACGACTAATCCCTGTTTTACACACCAGCCCGCCTTAATGACACTTCGACCTGTAGTTGCAGGAATTACTTGCTGTACACTAGATGGAGATGTACTTCTTTGTGATGTCTTCGTTTTCGCAATCACATCATCTTCACTGTCGCTATCACTTTGATTATTGCCCTAAAGTATGTGAATTAGAATCAGCCATATGAAAACAGTAATTGTATTCATTATATATTTTCAATAGTGATATACAATAACATCTTATTTTCATATACTGTAAACTGTTTTTGTAAATATCTAAATAGTGCAACCTGGTTTGCTTGTTATGATTACACAACTGTATCATCAATAACAAACCAAGCACAATTTGACAAAAGCTCAAAGTAAGTTTACATCAAATTATGTTTGGTTTATTATCATTAAAACAGTTCTCCAATTGTAAAATTATTACTTTTATTCAAGCCAATCAGAAAATTGACTCTTATAATCGTATTTAACATACTTTTTTTATTCATACTAAGTAGAAAATGAGTAGATTAAATACGATGTACATAATATTGAATGGTTGCCAGAAATTTCCAAGCATTTACTGGAATTGAATGCAAACTCTGTGTTAACCTCAGTATCAAGCAACACACTTCCAATATTGCTGTGTTACTGTGTTTAGGACACTAAAGATGATTGGGCATGCCGACTGGACATGCTAATTTGTAATGCACTCAAGTCTAAACACAGTACAAAAAGATGATCGTGCAAATCCTTCCAGATCCATGCACTTGGAAAAACCACTTCCTGGTACAACCAACAAGAAGTAGACTGATTTGGGTAGTCCCATTCACAGACACAAGTAGGCCATAATCATGGAAGTTAAAAATAAATGAAAAAAATAAAAAAACCACCCACTACCTAAATATATATTCAAAACACAGACTAGTGTGACAGCAACATGGGTGCTGATTGGTCAATGCCATATAATCTTACAATAGTTGTACAAAGACAATTTTTATACAGAGGAATTCCGATGATTGAGAACAAATTGTTTGTTCATTTTTTAAGCATACATTATATCACATATGACCAAAATCATAAGTTTTGTGGTTTAGCAACTTTCCTGATTTGTAAAATATTTAAGATCAGATCATAAAATAATAACTTTAAAAGTCTGATTACTCATCATAGCAGTTGTTCATTAGACAACTGTAATCATGTGACACTAATTTGGGTGCTGATTGGTCAGATACAAGGTAAAAATCATACAAAATTATGAAATATTAATTAGACTATTAATAGGGAAAAATTTCTAAACTTAGAAAAACAATATTAATTTTTCAATGACACTCTGAGCTACTACAGTGACTCACAATGAATTGGTTTGGTCCAACATAAGACAAAACATGACCAAATATGTCAGAGGTCTCACCACAAAATAAGACGCATTGTTGGTAAAGACATATTGGATATTTAACAAAATACAGTAGGTCAAAGTCATATTTTTTTGAATAATTTGAGTTTATATTTTAAGTGAATTTTCTTACAATAAATTAATGTGTTCTCTGTGGATATTCTATATTTCTAGTTATTTTTCTTTGAGGCTGATTTTCTCAAACTCTGGTTCTCATACATCTAAAATTCAAAGGCTCACATCTCTGGATCTACTTGTCCTAGGAAAGCCATCCAAAGACCAAATTAAAGCATATAATGTAACCTGTCCAAATATGTTAACTTCATTTGGATCTTCAAACAATGTGTTGAGACATTACATATCACAACAATGATGTAAAAGAACAACCATTTAATAACTAAAAATATAAATGTCCATCAAACAACACAGCATTAACCTATAACACAGAGGCATTCTTTATATTCGTAATCAAATTTCATTCAACAACATTAGCAACCATGCAATGCAAATTTTATCCGATTGGAATCACAGCTTTTGTGAAGTATCCTGGTATAAAATTTTTTCATTTGTATATTTAGTTTACACTGAATAAACCAATCCGAATGTGAAAACCCTGGTAATTACTATTTTGTTTTTTACAAAGTCCAGCTGCTTTCTAATTTCCACTCTATCACTTTGTATTGCCGCAGAAACATAATCTGTTAATCTAATTAAATATTCATGATATTCTCGACACAAAAAGTGCATTCCAATGTCATGATTATATGTTGGAGAGTTCTACAGGAAATGGCCTAGTTGAAGTTTGAAAAACCCACAAGCACGGTAACTAGCCAACGATTAGGATACAAATCATAATGTTGCTACTGTTCTGTACAGTTACAAAAATGAGCAGCAAACAAGGCTTTTCCTATTTTGACATTAAAACACAAAAAAAACTCTAATCAAATGATTGGACTTCTCTTCGCTGTTATTTCTGCATTCATACTAACATATTATCTCATATGTTAAGGCTACTATACATTTGTGTGATGTTGGTAGGTGACTAACATTTATAAACAGATATACAAAATTTACAAACTATAATCTTGAATTATTTAATTTAATCAAGTTCACCATTTAAAGATCTACATTATTACATAAATACACAATTTTAGAGTTTATTATTCATTACTTTAATCAATTTTTTTATAATTACAAGATATATTAATAATTCAAAAATTGTTTATAGGTAAATTGATAATGATGATGATGTACTAAAAAATTGATCTTGTAGAATTATTTTCAAAAATAAATTTTCACGGAGGTATATCACTGAAATGACCATATGTGGCAAAGACAAGCCAAACCAGTCACTCGTCGGAAAAATCAATTTTTAGTTATTAATACAAGGTTTAACAGTTAAATGAGAGCTATAAAATGGTAAAAGAATCATTTAAATCCGACACTTCGTCATGAAGTTACACAAGTTTAAACATACAGCTGTTTAAAGAACAATATTTGAGAAATCAGCCTTCAAAGTTTACGATTTCAGGCATTGGTTTGGCTTGTCTTTGCCACATATAAGGAATATTTACCTTCAAACTATTCATACTATAGTCTTTATATAAACTTGGCTAAAGATATATTATTATCTATATACAGGTACTAGTATCACTGTTGACTTAAATGCCTCTTACTAGCATACAATATATGCACCTTAAGCATTGCTTTATAGTGAATATATATAAGTTTTATTGTTTAATAAGCCATTGTAATAGTAATATTATAAGTTGTTGTAGACCAAATTCTACCATGTGGTACTAAAATAAATTAATAATATTTTCATAATTATTAAATAAGATCAATTTCAAATTATAAAGAAATTTGAATCTTACTCTAAATTTTTTGTCATACAATAACCTTGAAATTTGGTGTCCAATACTAACCACTAAATTCTTTAATTCTAATACATAATATGTGAGTTAAAAAAAAGCTAAGCCAATAACAATAATACATGTATGATGACGTTACTTTTCCAGATCCTGTAATACAAAGTTCAAAGTTCATTTGACTGCCATAGTATAGGCTTCAGGCAAGATGAGTAGGGGGTGGGAGAAGGGATGGGGGAGGAGGGATTCTTATAGGCTAAGTTTAACTCAGAATTGTCTCTTCTGTAGAAATGTAGAATACTACTATAGGTAGATAAGTGCGTGTTTTGTAAGTGTTTGATTCAATGATCTTGTTAAAGCTGAACTCACATTGGATCGGATCCCTGTTCTTACATACTTATCAGATTTTCTGATTGGGTCAGTAGGCTTTCCAATCTGTAAATTCAAATTTGTTGTGAATGCACTTTATAATATGAAGAGCATAGAAGTTTTGTAATTATGCACTATGAAGGATAGGCATATACTGTGGTATTACTACATGCAAAGCTCTCACGCACGAGTGTATGCAGGAAGCTAGCAGGGTGCAACTTTCACCACACCCTGGGGACTATACTGCACTAAACAGACGAACACATTTATACACCCCAAGAGGCCTGATCCTCACCCTCTTAAGAACAAGGACTAAAACTGCAACCTCTGTTTCAACCAACTACTCCCAAATACAGTACTTAACAAATGTCAAATTGCAAAAATAGATAAATTATATCATGTTGTGTTAATATTAAATAATACAGTATTACATGATAAATAACTTACATTATTATTAATATTATTCTTTATTCTAAATTTAAATTGTGATTTTTTTTTTCGCTTTAGTGATTGTTACTGGAGTTGAATAGGGGTCAATTCTGTTGCTAAATCTGCTTGCCTACAGATATCAATAAAAAATAAGAATTATAACATAAAATAATCAAAAATTTCTATACTTGCACATAAGCTACTAACAAAAGAGAAATACAAAACTAGAAGAATAAGCTCAATTTTTTTGTATTTATGGCTGTTAAATTTACATACATCATGCCAACCAGCCGGAAACCTATCTAATTCAGGAAATCAGAGGTCACCACAGGGACCAACACTGGCTGTATACACAGCTATCTGACAGGGGACCTGTAGAGGCTTACTAGCTGCCTATAGGCTACTAGCTTACAAGTCACTGTACCATAGAGACTTGGAGCACTGGCTATATACACAGCTATAGATCTGTCTATCTGTTGGGAGACCTGCAGAGGCTTACTAGCTGCCTGTAGGCTACTAGCTTACAAGTCACTGTACCACAGGGACTTGGAAAACTGGCTATACACACAGCTATAGATCTGTCTACTGACAGGCGACCTGCAAATGTTTTATGCCTGCCAGCTACAAGGACTCTTGTTGCAGTACTTGCTTACAAGCCTGTGAACCACATGGGACTTGCAGCAGCACTGGCAATACACAGCTATACCTTTCTACTGATGGGGGACCTGCAAAAGCTTACCAGCTGACTCTTTACTCTTACTTAACAGGCATAGTACCACCGGGAATAGCAGCACAGCTGCAGATCTGCCTATTGACAGGGGGCCTGCAGGGGCTTACCAGTTGTCTACGTACAGTAGCTGCAAGGACTAATACTGCTTTTGAGCCACTGTACTACAACTACTTCTAAGACATACAGCATTGTGCATATTCACGGCTTATCACATGCACGCCCTCCGAGTTAAGCTGCAAAACTAAAATTTTGCTTCTACTGCCTCAAATTTTCAACCATATTAGCAGTAGGAAAATCCATGATCTTCCTCTAGGAGCTGCGAATGGGAATGCTGAATCCTGCTACATCTTTGTCAGGGCTTTGCATCTAGTAATATACCACAAGACCAGAAGTGGATCCTGGCAACTAGCTAATGAAAAGAAGAAACCTTTCAAAAACTTATTGCTGGACAAGGAGTATTGTACAGTAAAATGCTTGCCCAATATTACAAGCAATTGACCAGCCCAAGGCCATACAGGATCTTAATTTGCCAGATAGTTAAAATTTGTTAATTATCTAATAATATTTGCATCAAAATTTTAGAATATTAGAAGAACATGCAAGAAAGAAATGATAAAACAAACTACTTAATAAAAATAGTCAACAAACAAACCATGCTATATATTTCCCAAACTAATTGAAAATATCTGATTCCTGCTTCTCTTTCAGCCAAGTGATTGATTAATTATCTGCTTTATTTTGGGTTATTATTTACTTGTGTGTCACATCAGATTTTTAAAACAGTGTTGAAAACTTTTCTGGATTTTATGGTAGTGTGAACACATTGTAACAATTTGTACATTTGTAAGAAAACATTAGTCCAAGATGCGACATGATTTCTAGAAAAAACAAACAGAATCCTTTCAATACATGCTGTTATTCTGACACCAAACTTACCATTTTTTTCATTTCAAAGTACGTCTTGAGAAGAAGCTTAAGAGACGTCCACCGCAATGTGGACTCATGCTGAAAATGGCGGCCATATATTAATGCATAATCAACAAACCATTAAAGAGATACTACAATATCTGAGTGCTTTTTGACAAATTGGATGCAATATGGACATACCACAGGTTTCGGGGCACTGGGCGGCTTCACAAACAGACTCGCCTCAATTGCTGGGGTCAACAGAGGCCAAAACCAAAAGGTCCGACTGTGCTGAAAGTTGATTATTAGTATTAATATCCACTGAAACCCTTCAATTTATTGCATTTTATGCAATAAATTGAGGGAGGGAAAACATGTTCTAATGAGAAGACTCAACAGTATATACCTGCTAAGAATCACAGTTCAGTTGGGAGATCAAGAGTAATTGGATGGTCTTTGGCCAAAAGGGTCAAATTGTACTTAGAGTGACTGAAAGTCTTCAAATTATTGCACATTATATAATAACTTATGGGGAAAAAGCATGTGCTGATGAGAAAATACAATGGAGTATAATACCAGGTTGGACTTTCAGTTGGTAAATTATCAGTAGAAGTTCTCCTTATGCCAAAAATTTCCAATTTTTAGCAAGTTCATGATATCAATCATATTTTGCACATTACCGTATGTAATAATACTGTACTTCTTATTGAATATAATACCTTAAGAAAATATGTGTTCTATTCCAGGGAGTACACCTTATGGAATCAAATTTTGGTTAGCAGAATATACGTTAATTGGAGGTATTGATTTTGAATTGCAATAAAGACTAAATGTTCTTCTAAAAAAATCCTATTTCACCTTCATAAATGTGGCAAAGACAAGCCAAATCAGTCACTTGCCACAATAATCAGTTTTTTAGTTATTAATACACGGTTAACTGTAAAATTAGAGCTATAAAATAGTAAAAGAATCATTTAAATCCGACATTTTGTTATAAAGCTACAGGAGTTTAAACATACAGCTGTTTAAAGAACAGCTTTCAAAGTTTACAATTTTGGGCATTTCTTAGGCAGAAACTATCACCAAATTATTATAAATTGTTGTTTTAACATTGAAAATGGGGAAAATATTAGCACAGCATGATGCATAGATATATAAAGGTTAGTTTATTGCAATAAAATGAATTTCCAAAATGTTGACATTCTAGCATGTTTTGGTCATTATCTCCGTAACAGGATTTGCGACTGAGTGACTGGTTTGGCTTGTCTTGGCCACAAATCGTACTTGGATCATTATTGTATCAAATAATCACTCTTTAGTTATCTCATTTCTTTGAATGAAATTTTTACAGAGTAATGACCTCAAGACCCATTAATGCATTGTCACCATTGCCTCACTTTTTCAACCAAAGATTCAATAGAAACCCCATCATCACTTTTTGTCAAATTAAATTAATGTTGAAATCTCTTGGACCAAAAAAATGTATTATTGTATAGTTGTTCCAAGAACAAGATCTGAGTGATCCTTTTACAGTATAATACAATAACCTTTTTTTTCAAAAGACCTACAGTACAAATTATAATAAATAATTTAACACAATAATCTAATAATTCAACAAAACAATTATATAATCTAATATATCATGCACTAGTCTGGTTGGCTGATTGTTCAAAAAGCAATGAGTTTGAAATATGTTTTCTGGTTGATTTATAAAACAACTATACACACCATAAAATATGTTTTGATTACAAATAAAAGACAAAAGTGCATGCAGCCCTCAAAATTAGGAAAAAAGTATATCGGCAAAAAAAAATTTTAAATCGTCTGCGCTATAAAACTGACGTCGGTTATAACGTCAGCAGTTTTCAGTTTCAGCTACAGCCCTGAAATCGACCCATGCTGACCTATTATAGCAGTGATGGATGTCTTTTTATGTCACCCAATCAAGCTGGAAAGCCTAGCCAACGTACTGATGTTCAAATTCACAACTAATTATTAATAAATTGTTGAACAATGTTAATGTTATGATGATGAATAAAATGAAACTACAAACAAAAAAATACAGTGGAATCTCCAAATTCTGAATGCCCAGAAACTTTCTTTCAAGTCCCAAAACCATTCCTATTCTTCCTTTAATAAAATACTTTCTGAAAACCGGATCTCCCTGTTCCAAATTCCGGACATTTTATTCGGTTAAAGCCTAGCACACAACACCCTGTGAATGCTAGCTCAGTCCAAATATCGTTGCCATAGAGATTATCTATTGATTGAAACAACATACCAGTAGGCCTAAATGTTAATGTTAGATAAAGTGAAAGTTACGCTTTCCATTGTTTATAAAGTGCATTATTGCCTTCAGGCCTAATCCTTTAAAAATCAATTGCAATCAACCAGAAATGAAGACGGAAATCAAAGCAAGTTTCTACGACTCTTTCAGTAGACGTTTAATGCAACATAAAAGACATTAAATAACTTGCTTTCATTAAGAATAAAGTTTAATATCGTGTTCACGGCGATCCTGCCGAGTCTACCTCCACTGGTACTGCTAGACCAGCGTAGGCCTGGGTTATCTTGGGCTCGGCCTAAAGTCCTTGGGCGGCTAGACGGCGCCGTTTACGTTGGCATTGCCGAATGCCGGCGTTAATTTTGAGGGCTGTGCATGTATACAATTATTTGTAACTTCACCATGACTAGGAAATGAAATACAGACCAAGTGAAAAAAAAAAATTGTTCCAGGAAATTATACTGTAATGAAATTTAAAATGATATGTGCACTTAAAATGGGTAGCATAGAACTATTTAGTCAGCAGTTTACCATAAATTTACCAGTAATCCTATGAAAATGAAACCTGTTTAGTAGGACAACGAGTTTCAGTGATTTCAGTCTATGGTCGAAGGTTATGGGTGGGATAACAAATGGAGTACAAAAATATGACCTAATGAAATGCTCATAATCTGCTCTGTATTTTACTTTTAAAAAAGACTCAAACTGAAAGCATGCTGGAACATTTTTGGAACGTATTTTGAGTAATAATTTCTTTAGATCATTGAACTTTTAACTATAAATTTGATGAATTTAAAACCTTTATCATACTTGGATATTTTAGCAATAAAATCCAAAACCTTATTTTTCTGTCCAAAAAACATTATTAATCAACACTTCATTAAAAACAAACATTGATGTAGAGTCTGATGAAAGTTGGAACCAGAACCCTGCGGGTGTGTACGTTCCTTTGTTGTACGCAAAAACTAAAAGCAAATTTGGGAATTGTGATAATTAATAATCACCAAAAGTCATTCATTGCATTCTACTAAATTTGAAACTAATCGGAGTTTGCCAATTTTAGTTATCGTGGTATGGTAACAATTGACAAAGTGTCTGACCCACCGCCATTGTCGTTGTCTTTTCTGATTTTAAGCTGAACAAATTTATACTTGTACTCTTTATATCTACAACAGAACCCACACATCGAAGAAGAATGAAGAACCATTATGGTAGTACAAACACACTTGCTCCTAGGCCGGATGACAGAAAGCCCTATCCTTCCTAAGCCTAAAGGTAGGCCTAGGCTGTATAAAAATTCACCAAGCTTGAAGGGCGATTCTCTAAATTCATCAGATGTTTTTTTTTTCCTTTTAAAATAGAGTAAAGCAAAATTAATGAGCAAGTATACAAGAAACTAGATCTCGAAATGATGCATTGCTTGTTAGTCTGAGTTGAATTTTGATTGGCGCCGAAATATGATCGCAGTCACGTAAATATATAATATCCATAAACAAAATCCTGCAGTTGATTAAACACAAATAAATGTAATTAAGGCCAAAAAAAATACTTGTTTAGCGTCACATCTAAAAAAAAAAAGTGTTAATATTTCTTATCCGCATATCAAAGATTTTTTCTGCACATGTAGTAAGGCCAAAAAAAAAATTGTTGTGTTGCCCTTAAATGGAAAAAGTTGAGATCCCTATTATGAAGATCCTAGGCCTAAGGCCTGGTAAGCACCACAATAGCTTGCCAAACAAAAAATATTCAAACTAATGACAGAATAAATACTAACCAGTATATTGAAATATATTATATATTTTTGTATATATTATATTAACAAAAATAATTATTTTTATTAATTAAAGAAATATTTATTTAAAAAATAATTTGTGCATCTGATCCACACGATCACGCACATACAGATCGAGCAAAACATACTATGGCTATGAAAAATGCAGAGCCATAGATATCTACGGCTCTGGAAAAATGGCCAACCAAGCGCCCTCTATGTAATACAATCAAAGTTAACTTAAAAAAAAAAAATATTTTGTTCATGGTTGGCCTAAAACCGTAACGGAGCCTAAAATGTCCAACTACGTAACAGCTATAAAGTGATGGCTAGACGTAAGCCTGCTTTTATTTATTGCCCAATATACTGTAAGGTAATGAATACAATTTTTATTCAACCACTAGTTGTACAGCAGTAAAGAATAGGCAATGCCTAGGCCTCGCTAGGCTATTCGTGGCTTGACAGCTCAGCGCGAGAGAGATGCTCGGTTCTCAAAATTATGCCTTCTATTTTACCAACTTCACCCGTGCATCTATGGCTTGTTTTAGATTTTATGTTTTAAATGATAGTTTCAGAAGTGGTATTTTTCCGAATTTGTACTTGAGTGAAAGGAAGCCCTTTGAACAAAATTTCCCCCAAAAAAAAAAACCTGACCCGATTGCATGAAAAATTTTGGTCGGTCGCGGAGGGCAACACAACATTTTTTTTTTTGACCTAATGAAACTTTTTTTTCATTACTGTTTTAACTAAAATATGACAAGAAGTCTTTTAATGAATCGATCACAAATTTAACATATAAACATTTTTAACAACAAAAGGTTGAACACCATATACACCAAAGCAAAATACATTACAATTACATTTTTTATCTAATCGAATAAAAAACCAAATATTTCTAGCACAATTACATGTCCACCAATAACTATGGGACACATTGTGAAAGGAAAGAAGAAAGGAAGAAGCAAGAATGAAGATAAAAGGAATAATTAGGAAAAAAGTAAGGATGAGTAAAGAAGGAAAAAAAGATGGGAAAAGGAAGATGGAACAGAAAGCATGAGGAAAAAGTAGAGCTGCTCATACAAATAAAATATTTAAACAAATAGAAAAAAGTGAAAAGAAAAAGGTTCTACAAATATTTTGAAACATAAAATACAAAAATGTTCTTTCCAATTTTCCTCTTAATTTTTCAACCTCTGGGGCGGATTGCTATAAGCGGTCTTAACGGTTAGCCGGCTATAATTGTGACGTCAATACTGGTCTATGATTATAGACCATTGCTATACTGCAGTCTAACCAGTTAGCCGTCTTAAATTTTTCAACCTCAGAAGTAACAGTGTTTAAAACTCACCTCTACAGGTGTACGTACTACCACCCCTCCAACTATTTCTGTTCTGTAACTGACTATTTTCCTATTTTGATGGTCTCCATGACTTGGTTCATCCTTTTTGTCATTCTCTGAAATTTCTTCATCTTCTGCTTTCTGTTTTAATGGTACCTTAGTTTGAAAAAAAAACTTCAATTACACTTAGTATCACTCCACAGTACGCTTAAACCTATATAT